GGCAGCCGCAGGAGGCTGGCGTTTAGGTGGACTGGCCGGGTGGCAGGCGCTTGCTGTCCAGGATGGCCTTCCAGTCGTCGGTCCAGGAGTGCAGCCTGCGGCTGGGAGGCTTTAGCTGGAGGTGCTTGTTGTGGCAGGCTGTGAAGAGCACGTGCTCCCAGCTGGGATTCTGCTCGGCCCCTGCAAAGCAAGGAGAGAGGTTGGCTCTCCGGAAAACTCCTCCACAAGATGCAGAGGTTGAGCTTACTCCGACACGAGGAGCCTGCGGACACAAACCCCTAACGAGAGGGACCATCATCACCCCCGGATGGCATCTGCCCCTCCGAGCTGCCTCTGGCCACCCCTGTAAAACTCTGGCCACCCCTGTCACCCTACAGCTCCCTCACCTGTTATATCAGGTCTGTCGTCTATCAGCAGGTCAGCAGAAACCACTGTCTTATCTCGCGTCAAAACAATCTGCTCAAGAAACTCGGGGCCGAAGTGCTTCTCCACCCAGGCGTACTGCAAGGGGAGAGACACAGGGAGGACATCTCTTGTAATAAATTCATTAGTGGGAAGGATTCGGATGCTGCTGGAGCATGAGTTCTTTTAATGCCAAGGAACTTTTGACACTGTGATGAAATACTAAGACCAAGCGCCTCAGTGCATGCAAACGGCAGAGCTCGGCTGGCAGTGGAGCTGCTGCTCTGCAAAGATGCTTAGGAACAAAACGAGAGCAGGGAAATATTCCTGCGGTTTTGCAGCCGGCCAGCCAGAGGCACATGGGGGGCAGCTGGTGGTATGGGGGGTGCTGGGATTCGGACCTGCTCACCTTCTCGTAAGGGCAGTAGCGGTACTTCTTGATGGGGCTTGTGCAGATGAACACGTCAGTGCTGGCACAAGGAGAAAAACAGGGGCAGAGGGTCACTCGGTGGCCAAACACACTGATCGGACCCTGCTCCCCTTTGAGATACACTTGGCTGCCTCTGCAAGATCCCCACTCCATGCCTGAGCAGGCAGGCACCCAAAGCAGAGCCCCCGCCACGCACAGATCAAACCGGGGTGATTTAAGACATTAATCCCCCCTCTCACAGCATCCCACCCCCGGGACGTGTACCCACACCCATGGCACAGGCATCTTCCCCTTGCTGGGAACAGAGACCCGAAGGGAAGGGGTTGCATGTGGCTGATTTTCTTGGTGACTGCTTCAGGAGTCAAAGCCCTCTCTGTCCTCCCATGCCAGGTGGGTTCATAGGCATTTTTAACCCTGATGTTGCATTCAGCACTTCTGCAGAGCAGAGGATGAGCCTGCAAGGCCACTGCTGCTCCCCTGTCCATTCCCCAATCCCACGGGCAGGTTCCTACTCACTCTGCCAAATTTGCCATTTCCTTCACGGCTTCCACAGCCCCAGGGAGTGGGTCCAGCTCAAAGAAGAAGTTCTTGGATTCCCAGATGCTGATGGCTTTCTCCTGTCATGGGAAAGAGAGCGGTTACTGCACAGGGCTTCTTGCTGCTTTTCTCTCTGCACATGCATCTTCCCCACCCCTTGCTGGGACAGAGGATGGTGACAGTGAGAAAGCTCTGAGCTCTGGCTCCCATCCCTCCTGCTACCCGCCTTGCCTCTGTGTGTTCCCCACCTGCACCCACCCCGTGCAATTTGGATGGGAGATGTTCTGGAGCAGGCTTGGTTTTGCCTGTGCAGCCCCAGACCTGGGGGGAGCAGCACGTTCCTCCAAGGCAAAAAGCGGAGATTGTTCAGAACTGAACCAAACCCTGGGTCTGTGTCTGGAGGGGCACTGCCCATGGATCTGGCTGCCGTGGCCGTGCTGGAAGGTGATGCTGTTCAGCCACAGATGCGCTCTGGCCTATTTGTCTCAATCAGATCCCTTAAAATAGCAGCCAGGCTGCTCTCATAGGAGAAAGTACATTATAGGATGAACTACACGTTGGGATGAACGCAGATGCTCTTCCTCAGGGATGCCAGGGCAAGGTCTACCAGGCAAATAGAGCATCTCCAGGCAATGGTTTGAACCACTTAACATCCAGGTCAGCAGCCAGGGTGCACTGGTACAGCACATGGGGAGGGGAGAGCAGAGCAGAGAGAGAGCCCAGGGGCTGCCTGCAATGGGTCCAGCACCGCTCTACAGAACAGCATCCCCTGCACTCCCTCAAACAGGTAATGACTTGCCAGCCGCCAAGCAAAGCAATTATTTTGGACAGACACTGTGTCCTCGAGGAGGAGAGCCTGGGAGCACTGCAGCACGGCTGCGGGCAGAGGACAGCCGTGTCCCGGCGTTGCAATGCAGCTGAGCCGCTGTGGCTGGGAGAAGCTCTGTAGGCAGCCCTGCCCTGAAGGGTTGATCTTGATTTTGAGCATCTCTGTTTCGGTATTTGAGGAAGGTGAATAGGGACAAAAGGAACTTTTAAGCCCATCCTGGCCCTCTTGTATTGCACAGTGTGGAGGAGCCTGCAGATCATCAGGGTAGGGGGGAGCAGCCCCAGTGATGGTTATGTGCTGGTTCTTACAGCTCGTAGCCACAACCAGGCTGGTTGGACACGCCGGCTAGACTCGCAGCTCCCTCCTGCCTGATGAGTGGGAATCTAGCGGGTATCCACCACGTTTTGCCTTTACTACACCTGTACTGGGGCAGAAAGGAGGCAACCATGAGCAACTGGGGCTTTGCTGGGAACTCCAGGCTCAGGGCAGCAACGCCCCAGAGCAATGGACGGGTCACTCGGGGAGTCACATTCTGCTTCATCCTGCTGCCTGCCTGTGCCAGGATGCTGGCTGCACCCCTTTCCTGCTCTCAGGAAAATTAATGCATGAACTCATTACATATTTGGGCACTGAGCATCTACCATGACATGCCAGAATCAAACCCTGTACTTCTCAAAAATCCCAGATCACATGAGAAGACCTGACACGCAACTTAAGAGGAGAGACTGTTCAGATCAACTGTTGCACTCTTCCCTTTTGCCTGAGCAGCAGAAAGCATCGGTGGTTCAGAGGAGGGAAGAATAGCCTTCTTCAAACATGTTCAGAATGAAACACACCGATTCGGTGCAAGAGAGACAGCTGAAATGCCTCCTGGCACCATGAGAAGAACAGCTACGTTGACAGTCTGCCATGAAGCCAAATATTCAAACTCAAATTGCTCTGCTTTAGACCGGTCAGCGATGATGTTTAATTTTTAAGATACTGACTGCAGTTGCACAAGAGACATCTGAGAAGTGTGGCCTGATGTAGCAAAGCACTTCAAACTGCGCTGAAGTGTTTTCTGACAGCAAGGACTTCCGCAGCTATTCTGCTTCCACTTATGTCAAAAAGCATTTTGCAATCAAGCTCGATGGGGGAAGAGCTAAGCTCATCTTGAAGAAAAGACACACTCAGCTCCCAGAGCCAGAATAACTCCCTGCGACACCGCAGCCAGCACGCTGCCCAGCAGATGGAAAAATCCGCCAGGCTGGGAATCCCACCGTGTGCCAGGCAGAACAGAGCCTTGATTTCCTTCTTCTTATCCCTCCCCACGGGCAATCTCCCTGCCCATCCAGGGCTCCCCATCCTTCCAGGTCGGTGTGCTCGGCGTGTTGCTGAGCTGTTCTCCCTTTCAGACCGGGGACCTTCAGCTCGTTGGACATTTTGGCACCTCTTTTCTGGTCTACAGCACGTCAACAGTGCTTCTGATGAGGGGAGACTGGAACGACCCACGCGCCCATAGCCACAGCGCAGCTCCTACTCTCTTTATCCCGCTCTGAAACCACGGGTGAAATCAGGGCTGCTCTGCCTGGGGAAGTTTTGCTAGTTGCTCAGCCCAAGGTTTTGGTGGTTTTACGTGATCACAGCAGATGTAAGATGAGCTCACTTCATTTAACACATCCAGAGTAGTTAAGATCAAGAAAAAAGTTATCATGCATTACCCATGCCAGACTTTTAGCATCTGCCTTCTGCATGAATGCTGCCCTCCATTTCCCAGCTAGAGAGGACACATTATTCCTTCAACTCATCAAGCTGTTTAGGACTTTGCCAGTAGCAGAGCCCTGAACCTTATTCACGCTCCCTTCCTTGTAGCCATCGTACCACCAACAGTAAGAGCGCTTTTATTTGCTGCAACACCTTTCAACTACTGCAATTGCAGCCTGCAGATGAGACCACAGACATCGCATCAAGATGGGAAACTTGCAGAGGCAGAAACTGACTTTCTGCAGTGCTCAGCCCTTCGTTGAATGATAAAGTACAACATAAAGAGAGCTTCTACTTTTAGGCTTTAATTGTTAAAATGAATACAGGAATTTTCAGGCATGGGAGGGCTTGGGGTTGTTTTAATTTTAGGTAAGCCCTCACATGAAGCATCAATTGCATGGTTTGCTCTCAACCCTGCTGCATCCCACCCCTCACATTGCTGTTGAGGAACAAAATAATCCATCTAGGAACAGCATCAATCCATGCACCTTGGCCAAATCGGAGCTAGAAAACCCAGCTATGCCATTTGGGGTATTTTAAAACAGATGTTCTGAAAGATCTCCTTTCCTTGCATCCACTTCCATGCATGCATGCAGGGGGAAAAAAAAAAAAAAAAAAAGAGACAGATGTGCATGAAAGATGCTGGATTTCTGGGCAAAAAGGTACCACTGGAAGCCCTCCTTGCCTGCAGACCTGTACCTGGTTTTGGTGGGAGCTCTGGCCAGCACCCACAGCCCTTCCCAGCCCTGCACCCACAAGCTGGGGGCCATGGGGCCAGAGCTCCAGTTGCACGGCACAAAAGGGAGCCACGCGCAGAGCCAGGGGACGTATAGACTCACACTCAGCTCAGGTCCCAGGCGCCCGTATTGCTCCGACACCCAGAAGCCCCTCCGGTCCTCCAGGGCAATGTAGGGCTTGTTGGGGTACCTGGCCCTGAACTTCTTGAGGAAGCCTCCTTCGAA